TTGTCACTTGGCAGCAACAACTTAGAAGGGCATATTCCTCATGAAATTGGCCACCTTACATCGCTAATCTCTATTAATCTTAGTCATAACTCTATCAGCGGACAGATACCTTTTCCTCTAGGGAATTTATCGCGTCTAGCTGACTGGGATCTTAGCTACAATGATCTCTCGGGCATCACTCCAATTTTTGTTGCTTCATTTCCGGACGTTCTCAAGAATTACAAAGGTCACAACTGTTATAAAGTTTATTCCAAGGCATTGGTTGGCAACAAGGATTTATCACCCTATACCTGTTCTTCAATTATCAACAGGATGAAAATCATTCACTATCTCAAAATTTTTCTTCCCCTTTCCACACTACCTGCTTTGGTGATTTTCGGGTATTTATTATTTTCTCCATCTAAGCAGAAGAAGAACATGGGTGTACCAACACCAGAAAATGGATTTTTGTTCTCCATATTTAACTATGATGGAAAGATAGCATACCAAGACATTATCAATGCAACAGAGAATTTTCACATCCGGTATTGTATTGGAGTTGGTGGCCATGGAAGTGTTTATAAAGCAAACCTAGCTAGTGGTAGAACAGTTGCCTTGAAGAAGCTTCACCCTCTAGAGGTTGAGGATCTCAATTTCGACAAAAGTTTCATGAATGAAATAAACTTTTTGTCAGAAATTCGTCATCGAAACATTGTGAAGCTACATGGGTTTTGTGTAGATCAACGGAGCATGTTTTTGGTATTGGAATACATGGAAAGAGGCAGCTTGAATGATGTCCTAAAAAACGATGTTGAAGCTATGGAATTAAATTGGTCAAAAAGAGTTAACATCGTTAAGGGGACGGCACATGCTTTGTCTTACTTGCATAATGATTGTGCACTTCCAATAGTTCATCGAGACATATCAAGTAACAACATATTGCTGAATTCAAACTTGGAAGCTTGTGTTGCTGACTTCGGAATTGCGAGAATCTTAGATCTTGATTCATCCAATCAAACCATTCTCGCCGGTCCTTATGGTTATGTAGCTCCAGGTCAGCTGTTCGACTAGCATTGCAATTTAATGTTTTTCCCTTTTTTCCCTCCTTAATTTTATTTGCCTTGTGCTATGTTACTTGAATTTGAGAGTAAGCGACAAGTACGGTTATGTGTCCGACATGGGATACATTCAATTTTTTCTAAGTTTTGTCCATCGACTTTATGTTCGACACGTATATCTTAAGTAAAATGAAGAGTAAGACATATAAGTAATTATGTAAAACATTTGGAGGAATCTTTAGGACCTGTAATTGGAGAATTACTATTTTAATATTCTATTTTGTTGTTGCTCTACATATCCTAATTCACATTTTTTTTTAATCTTGTTTGGCAGAGCTTGCTTATACAACGGCAGTAACTGCAAAATGTGATGTCTATAGTTTTGGAGTACTGGCATTGGAAGTGTTGATGGGAAGGCATCCCAAAGAGCTCTTATCATTGTTGCCTTCAAAGCCCCTTTTGCAGAACATAAGGTTAAACGATGTATTAGACCCTCGTCTATCACCTCCAACAAGTTATTCAGTTGTCAAAGATATTGTTCTTGTTGCAATACTAGCATTAGCATGCTTATCTGTAGAACCAAAGTTGCGACCAACGATGAAACAGGTCTCCGATGAGTTTCTTCGTCAGCTAAGGCCTGTAGCAAAGACTCTCGGAGAAATTTCATTATTGCAACTCATGGATCCCGAAATAAATGTGGAAGGAAAGGGCTGCAAATGAATCATATTCTTCACATCATGCATGCTGGCAATTTGGGTTCAATTGTTCCGCCATCTTCGATCTCATGTTGAGCTTCAATTTTAAATCGGAAAGAATTATTTGTTTCTTTCAGCTTTTTTCCCTTTTAGCTATCATTCATTGTGTTTGGTAATATTTTAATATCATAAAATTTAAGATTTCAATTTTCAAAAGTTTGCATTATATTATTCCAACATCATCTCATATGTCATCATTGACTTACCACAATTGTTTAAGAGCATAAACATGAATGATGAGTTTCAACTTTAAATTGAAAAGAATTATTTGCTTCTTCATGCTTTTTTTTTTCTTGCCTCTCAGTCATCATTCATTGCGTTTGGCAATATTGTAGTATCATTTTATCAAAATTTTCAATTTTCAGGAGTTTGTACTATATTACACCAACATCATCTCATATTTTATCATTGGCTTAATTACCAGAATTGTGTGGGAGCATAAACATTTCTATCAAGATAGTTTAAATGGTATTATCAAAAAACTATTTTCAATGATCATAATAATTAATTTTAAAATTAAAGCTAAGGTATAATAGAGAATTGTTAAAATAAATTATCCATCCTCTTATTATTAGTTAATTTTAGGTTGAATTCCCATCATAAAGTTTTCTACCTAGGGAGAGGAAGTGAGATTCAAAACAAAGAATTGGAAAAGGAAGAGATCTTAGAATTTTCTTGGCAATTAATGTATAGAAAACATGAAAGGAGAGATCTTTAGTAATCAGTTTTCTTTCTTTCTAAAGTCTAGAAGTAGGAAAAAAACAAGTTTAGGAAGTTCAGAAGAACATGCACCAAAATACAGGAAAAATAAAATTGTTTTCTTTTTTGAGAGAAGAATAAAATAAAATTGTTCTTTGTCTATACCATCAAGAAAAAAATTCTCCAATTTGGTTCAATGGATTCTATTTTCCATTGCAAGTCAAAGGACGTGAAAGATACGTAAGGTTTGCTATTACTAAGAAGCATCACATTTAATATGATCCTTTGCATGGGCCTATCTCATTTGAAAGATAAAACACTTCTTAGAAAGATAGAAAAGACTTTGACTCCGAAAACTGGTTTTTTTTTTATTATTATTATTCTTTTAGTTTGTTTGGTTTGGGTAAGACTTTGACTCTTAATATTTTTCATGTGTCAGACTAAAATCTTTTTTTTTTTTGGATTTTAATACAATTTTTAATTATCCAAAAAGAGGACATTTAATAGAAACAATGTCTAAAAGATTTTGAAAGACAAAATTTTCGGTTTTTACATAACATTTCATCTGTGGTATTTACTAACAGCTTATTATACATAGAATAAAATTGGTAACATTCCAGCTATAAAATAAATACATGCAAATTGAAGAAATATATTGTATGGTGGAGAAGAAAGTGCAAGTACATGTTGTCCTTTCTTTTAACTTTCTTTGCAATAATATTACTAATCAATTAGAAAAGGAGACGTCCAAGCAAAAGCTAGTCCGCATTGGATCCTTTTCTAATTTACGGTTAGCTTTTAGAGATAGAAAACATGAAAAATGTGGCTGTTTCTTGCACTTGTCTGAACACAATGCTACAATATGTGAAATGATCTTGTTTATATATATAAAAAAAAAAACTTTAATTTTATGGCTGAAAACAAAAGAGAAGAAAGAATTGTTGAAGCATTAAAATCAAAGAGAGGATTGAGTCTTTTAGATTAGTAAAGATACTTTAAAGATTAGCTAGCAACGGGGAAAGATACTTGTCTTTTCAAGTCATCTAAACACGGTATTGCAAGTCTATGCACCAGATTGCTGGGAGGATGCATTATTCATATGTATAATTGCATGACATCTACAGAACAATCAGTGATAACAATTGACTAACAAAAAGTTGAAGAACAAATACTCCATCTCCATATAAATTCATTAGTCTCTGGAAATCATAACATGCTACAAGCCTACAACGGAAACTTTCCCAGATATTCAAGCTAAATAGACATGGCCTTATCCTTAACCAATTCCATTTTTCTAGGGGTGTTGTGGAGTACCATCCTTCTTTCCTTTGCAACAACCCAGTTAGCAGCAGTATCTTCACTGGAATCAGATGCTGTGGCTTTGCTAGAGAGTGGCCGGTGGTGGGGCTATAGCAATGATACTTCACAACGTTGCAAGTGGCACGGTATTTCATGCAACAATGCAGGAAGCGTCACCAAAATTAACCCATCTGCTGACATGATTCAGGTTGGTGATAGAACTGGAAAATTGAATTTCTCTTCATTTCCAAATCTTGTCCTTCTTGACCTTAGCGATCGTAAACTTGGTGGAAATATCCCGCCTCAAATAGGTGATGAGTATCATTCAAAATGCTAGTAATCAACAAATGCTTCAATATTTTTTAATAACATGCTTATTTTTAATCAATTATCTGATTAGTCTAAATTGTTGGCCAAATTTTAGTTAATGATGCTAACATAAAAATTACAAAATATAAAGATGGCATATATATACATACTTAATGTATTTTATGTTACCACCGGTCACAATTTTTCATGAAATTATAAATTTATTGCACATAATAAACTTGTGTTAACTTATTATATTATAAATTTAAACAATTTATAAATGTTATCATTAATGGAAATAATATTTCAAAACCCAGACTTTTATAAACCTCATAGTTATAATAGTTTGATATTTTCTTTTTAAACAAGCATCTCTTTAATTTCTTGCATTTTGTAAGCCAGTTTCATCAATTATAATTATACAACATGAACATTTATATTCCAAATTCTTGAGTTTATTTGTCTTACTTATTTTAACCATCAAACATAAATTGAATTGTACCTTAAACTTTTTCTTTGTGATTGTATACAATAAAATTTTATTTTGTAAAATAACTTCTAGTGTAATACATCCAGCATGTAAAATACATGTCATATTGTTAATGTTTCTGATAATAACAATTATTTGGTTTATTATCCATCAATTAATCACTGAAATACCATATCTTAATGATAATTATTCACATATATCAATTTAATTTTAATTGATATTCATGAAAACTGAACACTAGTCAAAATGTGAACCAATAATAAATTTAAACAAAATATATATCAACCTTTGATTTATAAACGACCAACAAAAATAGACCTATACAAATAGCTTGACTCAACTTATTATCTTAATTTTAGTGCCATGATTCAAAAATGAAACTTATCTTGCAGTCAAATCTTATTTTTTGCATATATTCTCTGCTTACATATAATGTTTCATGGTAAATTCCTTTACCCATTTTCAATTACTTTTCATAGAAACTATGGGACAATTTGCCTATTCTATATATAACTAAGACATGACAATTAAATAATCGGCCATTACACTAGAACTCAATTTAATTCGTTACTTAATAACAAATGATAATTCTTTTGTTTGTAAATCAATTCATCTCATTCTCTTTTATGTTTTCAGGCTATTTCTCATATCAATCTTTGTAAGCATCGATTTTTCAAATCGATATTATATAATTCATTAAACCTAATTGTGGAGCAAGTTTCAATATATGCATAAACTTATGCAATGTAATCAATATTTAGCATATTGTGTTTTGACTTTACACACTAATGAAATTAATTATTAACGTGTTTATCTCATTTAATCAATTTTCTTACCCGCAATTATATAAAAAATAAAATACATACCTCTAATTAAGATATTTGTGAAAATTAACATTTTGGTCTATGCATTACAAGAGATAGTGCAGGTGACAAGATTCAAACTAGGCACACTCCTTATAAGATACCTTGGGGTTCCATTAGTTACATGTAAGATTTCCATAAAGGATTGTACTCCACTAATAGAGAAGAAAACAACAAGAATACATAGATGGGTAGCAAAAAATTTATCATATACAAGTAGATTGCAGCTGATACAATCGATCATATTTAGTATTCAAAGCTACTAGAGCAGACATTTTATGTGCCACAAAGGGTGATCCAAAAGGCTATACAGCTATGGTTCAAGGTACTTCTAGAAAGGGCAGAATGAATCAACTTAAGGGGCAAGGGTTAAAAGGAAAACTCTATATAGGCCTAAATCTGAAGGAGGACTCGGGTTAAAAGACTTGTTCATTTGGAATCAGCTTGTATGATTAGAAATCTATGGTCTATTTTCTCACAAGTAGATTCATTGTGGATTGCATGGGTGCATAGTTATATGCTTAAAGGGCACAATATATGAGAGGTACCTATTACACAAAGTAGCAATTGGAGCATGAAAAATCTATTACAAGTGAGGAGTAGCAGTTGAAGCATGAAAAAACTATTACAAGTGAGGAGACATGCCACTCGATTTCAAACAAAGGAAGGCATAAGATGGAATGGGGGAGGTATTGAGAACTCAGTTACAGCTATATGGGAAGAATTGAGATCGAAACAAATGAAGGTAGTGTGGCACAGGCTAATATGGTGTAAGATGCATGTACCCAAACATGCAATCATAGCTTGGATGGCAATATTAAATAGACTTCCTACCAAGGATAGATTGAACTCATGGGAATTACAAATGAACCAGTTTGTGTGCTATGCAAACAAAAGGATAAGTCTATGAGCCATATCTTTTTTAGCTGCAATAACTCTAAAGCTATGTGGAAACAGGTTTTATAGCTCTGCAACTTACATAGAGAGGTATCTAGTTGGGAAGAGAAATTCCATTAGGCTGTAAGCAAGGTGAGAGGGAAGGCACTAATATCTATCATATTGAGACTGGCATGGGGTGCATACATTTATATGATTTAGAGTGAAAGGAACAAGAGGCAGTTTGCTGCTATAGAAAGTAATGAAGGGCAGATCCTTAAAATGATAAAAGAAGTGATACAATTAAGATTGATGGGGCTAAAAAATATTGCTTTTGATAGTGTAAATATTTATGTGAGAAATGGGATTTCAGAAGGGATATATTTGTATAAAAGCCAGAGTGGCAGATGAAATTATATAAGTTGTATATTGGTAGTGGTGAATAACTGTTTCAGGCAATAAAATTACAAATTATCCAAAAAAAAATTAAACCTTTGACACATCTAGCCTCCTTTAATATTGATCTCCAAAGCATGCCAATTTCTTTTCCTTGTATCTTCATTGTGTGAAATATAAA